ATAAGTGAAGAGCGGGAGCAGCTCCGGGAGCGAGAAGAAAGTATATGGGAATGGCGCAAATGTGGATAGAGATAGCGATGGGACGAACACGGATGCAGAACGAAGCAAGCTTGTGTTTTTCGATAGGAGGAACCAGTTTGAGTTGGAGGATCTTCTTCGGGCTTCGGCGGAGATGCTGGGGAAGGGAAGCTTGGGAACGGTTTACAGAGCGGTGTTGGACGACGGTTGCACCGTGGCTGTGAAGAGACTGAAAGACGCTAACCCCTGCGAGAGGAACGAGTTTGAACAGTACATGGACGTTGTAGGGAAGCTGAAGCACCCCAACATTGTGAGGCTGAGAGCTTATTATTACGCCAAGGAAGAAAAACTTCTGGTGTACGATTATCTCCCCAATGGAAGCTTGCATAACCTTCTCCATGGTTAGTCTTTAATTGAAGTCCCACGTTGCAGGGATGAGCAATGAATATATAAATGAGTTTTGTCTTAACGTACAGGGAACAGGGGACCAGGGAGGATCCCGTTGGATTGGACGACGAGAATAAGCTTGGTGTTAGGAGCGGCGAAGGGGTTGGCTCGAATTCACGCGGAGTACAACGCATCCAAGATACCTCACGGGAACGTCAAGGCTTCGAACGTGCTTCTGGACAAGAACGGGGTTGCTTGCGTTTCAGACTTTGGGCTATCGCTGTTGTTGAATCCCGTTCACGCGATAGCCAGGTTGGGGGGGTACAGGGCGCCGGAGCAGGTGGAGGTGAAGAGGCTCTCGCAGGAGGCTGACGTGTACGCCTTCGGGGTGTTGGTGTTGGAGGTGGTGACGGGGAGGGCGCCGTCGGAGCAGGGTGGCATGGATCTCCCGACGTGGGTGCGGTCGGTGGTGAAGGAGGAGCTGTTCGATGAGGAGCTGCTGAGGTACAAGAATATCGAGGAGGAGTTGGTGGCGATGGTGCAGGTGGGGCTGGCGTGCGTGGTGGCGCAGGCCAAGAAGAGGCCGACCATGTTGGAGGTTGTGAAGATGATTGAGGATTTGAGGGTCGGAGAGGATTATGATGAGTCCCGCTCCCGCAACTCGCTCTCGCCTTCCCTCGCCACCACCGATGACGGCGTCGCTTAGTTTCATTCTCTGCATGTTACTTTTTGACCAAAGTAGGGTTGTATGGGAAGTCATTTACGTAAATGGTGCTGTCTCAAAATTATTTACGCCTTTAGGACTGTTTACAACGGTGTCGCTAGTGGTTTTTTTTTTTTTTTGTGTGGGGTGGGCTCGAATGAGCCAAAACATTGTCGCTATGGGCTGAGGCGACATAGTTTGTGCGCCATTAAAAATGGTGTAGCCCATAGCGACACCATTTAAGAAAAAAAACAAAAAAAAGTAAAATAATTTCTAAATTTAAAAATAATGAAGTGAACTTATATATTTATAAAAATAAAAAATATTTATTTAAAAACGTAATAATAAAAAATATATATAATTATTTTACAAGTGGCGCTATGGCCTATAGCGACACCGTGTCGCTATAGGCTATAGCGACACTACTAATTTGTTTATTTTTTTTAGTTATTATTTTCTTTTATTTTAAAATTATTTTTATAATACTAGTTAAAAATGATGATACCCTGTATCAGTAGCAGGAGTTAGAATACACCGTCGTGGTCTTTCCCTTGCAGTCCTTTGAGGATTTCTTCGAACACGTCTTTCTCCTGCCGGTGATGGTTGATGACTAGCCTCCGCAGAAAATTGCGGACGCAAATCAACACCTGCAACGTCATATTTTACACAAATTATTAATAATCATAATTATTATAACAAGAAATTAATAACAAAATAAAAAAATATGAGTATACCTGATGTATAAGCACGACTGATATAATCATGATCATACGGAATATGAAAAGGTGCTTCCTGACTCGATTGTGTGGCATCCGGTGGCATACTTGGCTGTGGAGTCATTAAAGGGGAATGTCCAAAAATATGATCCATCATGTGTGATGACATAGTTGGTTTCGGTGATGAGTCTAAACCAAGTGACTCACAGATATGTGTAGTAGTCATCGGAACTGATGTCTCAAATCCTGGTGGGCGAGGTGGAGTGTACCAATATGTATGTTGGGTTTGTGATGGATAAGTGGGCTCTTGAGAAGGAATATAATATAACCCTGCTGCTCTGTCTGGCACTGTAGGGTACATCTGATCCCTCGCCTCAACTGTTGTTCTTCGTCTAGGTAACCCAGCAGCCTCCCTTGACTGTGGAGGAACATTGAAAATCCCCGCGTCATATGAATCAGGGGGAACAGGTGCCTCCTCAGCTGGCTCAACGAATCTAGCACTATAGTCATCAGATATCGATAATAATCGATTAGTCTGCTCTGTGACTGCTTCCAAAGAAAACTCTTCCCTGCCATGAGGAGATGTCAAGTAGGCCAAGCATTCAGTTACGTCTCCCTACATATAGAAAACAAAAAAAATAAAATTTACAACTTAATAATTTAACAAAATAATATATACGGAATATCAGTTCTAATATTCACATACCACAATCGAGTCTTGAACTTCATCAGCATCAATGTACAACTTCCCCTTTCTGTGATACCACCTCATGTATTCAGAATTTGGACCTAATAGTCCAACCTGTGGAGAAGTAGCTGGAAAGTGGTATGCATATCGATTGGCCCAGTGCTCAAGTGTTGGACTTAATATTGTAGTCCAATCATCATCCGTCTTTCCCCACAGGGTCAACGCATGCACATGAGCAGGAGTGATCGGAGCATTTGGAATTGGTTGCTGGAGTCCAAATTGCCGCATCACCCTATCTGGCTGATGCCACTCACAAATACACAGAGAAAGTAAGGGGATTACAGAACCCCAAATACGTATCCCCTGTGTACAGTCCTCGGGCATCTGATCCAAAGGCGGATATGGTTGCCAAATAATCTGTAAATAAAAAAATTAAATTAGTTTATATTAAAATACTAATAACTTACACAATAAAAATCGAAAACCCTTAAATTTTAGTTACTTACTGATTTTCTGGACAAACGATCAAAGAATTTGCGATAAAATTTAATATCATCGCTCATGCTTATTTTAGTGGCTGTGTTCGACCACCTGAAATAAAAATGTAAACAATTAATTTCTACAAAATTTATTGAATAATTTTAAAAATGTTAATATTTGAATTTGATCATACCTTAAACCAATAGGACTGGCGGGAGGAATAGGTGGGAATGGAGAAGACAGAATGGTTGGGAATCGTTCCCATGCCCATAACTGCAATAAAAGTGTAAACCCACCACAACTTGGCGTTTTGTAATCAGTAGAGGTGCATAAATTGCGATACAAACATCCAAGCACA